CCTGCAAGCTATGGCTTTCTTAATGTAACCTGAGACTACCTTAGCTTTTTTGGCTGCAATATCATAGTTCTGACTCATACTGAGCTTGCAGTTCACTAAAAACCCCAGATGTTTTTCAGAACAACTACTGTCTAAACATGCCTTCTTCAACTTGTGCTTATGGATTGATTCTTTGTACCAAAGCATAAGAGTTTACATTTACTCCTATCGAATTTCAAAGGAGCTCTTGTCTGGAAAGATCCTTTTGGATCCTGACTGTCCCCCAGTTTGTTAGCTATTCCTCTCCCAGCTTTATGTTATCTGCTACTTTGATCAGCCTTCCACTTATGCCTTTATTCAAGTCATTGATAAAACATTTAACAGCATGGATTGCTGACACCTTACCACATTGACATGGAACTATTTATAAAATACTCTTTGAGTCCACCCATCCAACCAGTTCTAAATCAATCTAATTGTATCACCATCTTGTCTACACATCTTCATCTTTTCTAATATTTTGTATATACTTTATATTTACATACCTGCTTAACCCTCTAGTACAATATAAATTCCCTGAGGACAAGAATTGTTTCTTCTCCTTTGTCTATCTCCAGGGCTTAGTGTCTTATACACGGAAGTGCTTAATAAATGTTTGTGGAATTGAATTGAATTGAATCAGAAACAGGACTTAGGTTTAATAATAAAACATTTTGGGAGGGGGTCTTTAATTGCCAAGAGGATTTCAGGAGTCTCATTTTTTTTTCTTTCAATCTTTCTAAGTAAATATTATGATAGTGGGTGGTACCATATAGCATTCTCCTTTCCTTGCCCCACCAATGTTAATGCCTCCCCCATATCTCTGCCTATCTGACTCCTTCAAGATCTTGTATAAAATCCAAAAAAGACAGCTCTGAATTCTAGAGACTATGTAAAATGACGATTGCAAGATGTTTAGGACAAAATATGAAGATACAAGTACCTAGTTTTACCAGAAACTATCTATGAGACTTTGAACAAGTCCCTCTCCAGTGCTACGGTTCCTCATCTGTAAAAGGAGGCAGTGGGTATAGATAATTTCTAAGTCTCGTTCCAGCTTTAAGACTCCATGATTCTGTGCTTTTATCAACATAATGACCAATGGAAAGACTTCTCCAAAACACTGGAAAGGATAAGATTTAGAAAGCTTTCAAGCTGCACTTGCCCCACCAAAGGAAAATCAAAAATAAAATTTAGTTGTTCCCCATCTGGAGGTTACAAGGGTCTAAGTACAACCCAGAGCTTGTTAGCTAAGACTTCTGGCCGCCCAGGCCTATTCTGAGCTTTCTTTTTGGGAAGGATTGTCGACGAAAGTTCTAGGCTATCCCACAGAGGGCGCTGTTTGCTTTGCTTTGAACGGAGGAGAAGGCAATGGTGTGGGTGTCCAGATAGTGAGGGAGAGGTGCGTGTGGAGGGAGGGATGGTGGCTGGTGCATAGGGGCGCGCAGTGGGTGGGGTACGGTTCCTAGGACCTGGTGGAAAGGAACAAGCCCGGACTCCCTAGAGGAAGGGGCAAGGGCTAGCTTTCTTCCGCAATCCTTTCAAAGTTCAGGAGCCCTGAAGCACCCATCACAGGCTACTTCATCTGCTGGAGGTGACAGGTGGACCGGGAGAAATAGCATCAGTCAGGGAGGAAACAGAAAGGAGACAGGAGTTTGGAGAACTAAGGGGGAAAAAAACGAAGAAAGTTTTCCTCCGTCTTTCTGTCCAGATCCGGTACAACTCCCCCACTCCCCAAAATGAATTTGAACATCCCAGATTCAACCTGTCAAGAATCATTCTTTTCTCCAGGGAAATATGGTGTGAAAAAGTTTTATATGACAAAATCGTTTGCTTTCCGGAACAAAAAGGGATTTCCATTGAATCTGGTCTAGATGGGGTTTTCTGTGTAAGAAACAAGTTTGCTCTGCTGCTGAGCGAGACTGTCTCCCTACATGACCCCAATACCACGGCCCTCTTCCGAAACGCAATTTCTGTTTTACATTAACAGATTTAGTTTAGAGAGATTGCGTGCTTGCTCCAAATCTACTCAGAGGCAGCGCACTTCTCTCCCTGGTTCTTCCATCTGCGAGACCTGCATCTGTATGTTGTGCATATATCTCCATGTGTCCATGCTGCACATTTCCCTTCTCCCAAGCACATAACACCAACCAGCAGTAAATTGAGGTTTAACTAGGGCAAGAGACAGAGATGGGTTGGCCTAGTGGACAGAGAGCTAGTTTTGAGGTCAGAAAAACATAGATTCAAACCCTGCCCCTAAAGCATACACACCAGCTGTGTGACCCTGAGCACACCTAATCTATCACTTCCCAGATGCCATTCTCTAAGATGGGGGCAGCATGGTATTGTGGGGGGGGGTGCAAAAAGAGATTTGGAGTCACAGGACTGGAGTTCAAATCCCAGCTCTGTCTGTGTGACCTTGAGCAAATTTCTTCTTTGGGCCTCAGTTTCTTCTTTCATCTGTAAAACAAGAGGGTTGGACTCCAACTTTCAGCTCTAGATAGAATCCAATGAGTTTTTCTACTTAGATAAAGGGAGTGATGAAATCACAATCCCGACCCCTCCCCCCACGAGGAATATTTCAAACGCTTCTCCTGAAGTTCCAGGAGGGGTCCAAAGGGTACCCATCCTAGGGGAGGGTTTCTGGACTTTGATAATTAAGATAATGGTACTGGTCTCCTATTGCACCTCTTCTTTAGTTCATTTAATCGTTTGAGCAGCGAGACTTCTAGTACATTCGATGGGGTATAGCTGACATTTCTCGGAATTCAATCCACCTTAAGGGGGTGGGGCGTAAAAAGAGAGCAAAATCACGGAGAACACGGGGTGAAGACTTCCCATGGGAAGGGGTCTGGAAAGGGAAGGGCAGTAATCTTTATGCTTACCTCGTTTCCTTGGGTATTTCCATTTGAGAAGGAGTCGTCCTATGATCCACGGCTACATGTCCTGTTTCCCAGGTCCAGTTGTCACGCACTGAGAAATGTTTCTATGGAAAAGGACAAAGGCAGCGATTTGGTTTAATTTAATGTTTAAATCTGGAGTTCTGAAAAGCCTATCCCGCAAAGTCCTGGTGGCGAACAACAAATATCTAGTTTTTAAAAGTCCATGGCGTCAGGGGAACTTTTTTTGGAGGGGAGGGGGTAGTAATGTGGGCAATATTAATTCTCTTCCCTCTTAAATATCCCCCACCAGCTTTTAACAGCTATCTGCCACGTGACGCGTGGTTCCAATTTATCTCTTTTGCCAAAATTGTTGAAAACCCGCTGCCAGCCAACACCTACTGCTAGAAAATATTCCTTAGCCGTAGAAGGAAGAGTCTTTATTCATTAACTTATTTTCTCTTATGTAACTATTAAAATAATAATTATCTCCAAACATAGAGCTTAAAGACTCGCTTTGAGAAAGTTGTGCATTTCAGGGAACTGGTGTATGTATTTGTTGAGTGACTTCCCCCAAATAATGAAACAAAATTTAACTACTTTAAAAAAAAACTTAATATGGTCAGGCCTTCAGCTAAAAAGCTCTGATAGGTCTGTGATGCATCTTTCTGTGATCAATGCCTATTTATCCGTAATGTCTGTACCCACGGTTACACAGATGAACACACGTAGGATGAATAGATTCAGAGATTACTGGGGCCGGGGGGTCGTGCCGATAATGCACTCCAAAAGCTCATAATTTAAAGGCCCCCGGACGATTTTGCAGAGCAAGGTAAATTAATGAAGAGACTCGCAGTTCTGGCAGCAGGTGAAACAAAAGTGACTTCCTGGACTTGTGAGCGTCTATAGCCAAAAACACAGCCGGATTCCTGGTGCTGGTGCCCCTAGACAACACCAAGCGCCGTTTTTTTCGCTCTGGATGACAAGACCATTTTGAAAATGCTAGAGAGTCACCACCTTTCTATCCCCCGCCCATTCCCTTCTCTTTGGGGCTTTCTGAAAAGTGGGCACTTCTACGCATCCAAGAGGAAAGGGAAATCCTAACCCTACTACATGGGGGTGGGAAATGAATTGGAGGTAGGTCGAAGCCATCGCGGATGTTGGACAAAATTGCTAACAATCCTCTTTCTGCTCATATCAGAGTGGCTTTGGGGTGTAAAGACGAGCCAGGGAACTGGGATCTGACCCAGGCCTCTCCCCACCTCTTCTCCCCTCCCCTAGTCCAGGCAGTAGCGAGCAAGTTCCCCCGAGCTGCAGGGGGGAAACTTCTTAGAGCAGAGGGGAAGCCGCTGCAGCCGGTGGGCGCTCCCGCCCGGGGCGCCTCAGGCTCCGAGAGGTTCGTTTCTTGCTCTTGGAGTGGTGGTTTAGCTAGAGCCAATACCCTTTTGTGCTAATAGCCCAGTCCTCATTTGCTGCCTAATTGGACTATATAAAGCCAATAACAGGGGAGCTCTTATAGCCCGAAGCCAAAGCGCCAAAATCTAAGGCAAGGAGAGAGGGGGCGGCGGCAGTGGCGGCTGCGGGGCCAGGGTTTGGCTGCGCCTTCTCTTGCCTAATCCCATTTGCCATTGTACGTGCCCAATCGCCGTATACTCTTCGCATTTAACTTGGATGACATTTTGATTTCATCATTAGCATCCGGCGCCGGATTGACGCAGCCCCAAGCCGGGGACTCGTCCAGCCGCCTCCTCCCCGTGAGCAGCAGCCGCCGCCAAGCCTCCTCAGTCCCTGTATCCCGTCTGCTGTCCCGCGGCCAGAACTGTACCCCACCCCCTCCCGCCCAGCGTTCCCCCCACCACCACCTTCCCCCCACTCTCCTGCTCTCCCATCCCTTCCTCCTCCCCCCCACCCCATGCAAGCCCGTCCCAGTAGTTCTCTAGCTGGGTGCCCACATCCCCACCCCGCCCTTCAGACGCTGGATTTGCGCCCGGTGCTGCTCCTACTTTGCGTCGCCTCGTAGTTGAGTTGTGTTTATGGTCTGAGTTGCCGCTCGTCCGCCCGCCCGCCTGCCCGGTATAGCGGGGACCAGGAGGAAAGCGGAGGATGCCGGAGCCGGGACAAGAGCCCTGCAGCAACACTACCACCCAACCTCCCCAGCCGCCGCCGCCGCCACCCCCACCGCCTCCTCCGCCGCCGCCGCCTCCTCCACCGCCACCACCCAAGGACTCCCCCTTCTCCATCAAGAACCTGCTCAATGGAGACCACCACCGGGCTCCCCCAAAGCAGCAGCAGCCCCCAAGGACGCTCTTCGCCCCGGCCTCGGCTGCTGCGGCTGCTGCGGCCGCGGCTGCTGCCAAAGGGGCCTTGGAAGGCGCCGCCGGCTTTGCGCTCTCGCAGGTGGGCGATTTGGCTTTCCCCCGCTTTGAGATCCCGGCGCAGAGGTTTGCGCTACCGGCGCACTATCTGGAGCGGTCTCCAGCCTGGTGGTACCCCTACACCCTGACCCCCGCGGGGGGACATCTACCCAGGCCAGAAGGTACCTATGATTGGTTTCCTTTTCCCTTTTCCAAAACTCTTCATCCCCGCCTTACCTTTTTTCCTTTCTCTTCTTTACTCTTCCACAGTTTCTTTTCTCTCTGCCTACTTTTGCCCCTACTGCAACTTGGCCCACTCCATCGCACACTCTTTCAATCCCTTTTTGGCCCTGTTTTTGGATGTCTTCTTCCCTATTCCGCTTCTCCTTGCTCCCCGCTCACTTGGTTCAAGCTCTGTCGGTCGGCTCGTGTTGCTACGTTTCTTGATACCAATCCCACTTGGGAAGAAAAGAAATAGAATGAGCTCACTGAGTGAAAGCTCTGTCCTGTAAAAACTGGTCCTGGTGTAAGGGTTGGGGGGGGGAATGGGCTGTATTAGAGGGTCGAGGGGGACGAGAGAGGATGGGAATCCGAACTGGAAAGAGAAAGCGGTTATTTACAAGTTCTGTCCAACATTCAGGGGAAATCTTTCCCTTGGCCCCTAGCGACAGGGGAAAGGACGAGAAAGAGAGAGCCTAAGGCTATGGCGGCTTTGTCACCATCCGATTCCTCTCTTCTTGGGACTTCGTGAGGGCCCCGGGACACCGAGATCTAGCGTCCTCCTCTTACCTGGGGAGGGAGAAAGACTCTAGGGAACAGGGAAAGCAAGCCTGCTATGAGGAACGTCGTTGGTCCTAGAGTCTACAAAGCAGTGGTTCAGTGAGCTTAGGGGGCACAGGAGGGCAGCGGGACCGGCGGCTTGTCTTGTGCGGCCTAACTAAAGGGGCGACATCTCTCTGTGTGTGCGTGTGTGTGTGCGTATGTGTTCGTATGTGCGCACGTTTGGGTGTCTTTTCTCTCCCTTACAGTGGCCGAGAAATCCCTTCTGCGAGACTCGTCCCCTGCTTCGGGCACAGACAGAGACTCCCCCGAGCCGCTACTTAAGCCGGACCCGGACAAGGAGCTGGACTCCAAGAGCCCGGACGAGATCATCCTAGAGGAGAGTGATTCGGAGGAAGGCAAGAAGGACGACGCGTCATCTGGGGCCGGCGCTGGGGCAGCCGGGCAGGGCGGCGAGGACTGGAAGAAACGAGCTGACAGCCCGGAGAAAAAGCCTTGCCGGAAGAAGAAGACGCGCACGGTCTTCTCCCGGAGCCAGGTCTTCCAGCTGGAGTCCACGTTCGACATGAAGCGCTACCTGAGTAGCTCCGAGCGTGCTGGCCTGGCCGCCTCCTTGCACCTCACAGAGACCCAGGTGAAGATCTGGTTTCAGAACCGCCGGAATAAGTGGAAGCGGCAGCTGGCTGCCGAGCTGGAAGCGGCCAACTTGAGCCACGCAGCCGCGCAGCGCATCGTGCGGGTGCCCATCCTCTACCACGAGAACTCAGCTGCCGAGGGCTCCGGCGCGGCCGGGGCCCCAGTGCCAGTCAGCCAGCCGCTCCTCACCTTCCCCCACCCGGTGTACTACTCTCACCCAGTCGTCACATCGGTGCCATTGCTGCGGCCGGTCTGAAGGTGGGGCAGGGGAGGGGGGCGCTGGGGACCCTCCCCTACCTCCCACCCCGGGACTGGACGCGTGCGTGCTTGTTGCAGGGGTGTGTGTCGACTGGTGGGAAGTGAAGTGGGACTGATCCTCCCGGCTCCACAGCTCGGAGGGATCAGGATCGGCTTCAAGAACCGGAGAGCAGGGGTCAGTGTCCCCTTCCCCCCCTTCCCCTCTCCCCCAAAGGTAACATTTTTGTATGTATTCTCAATGCATTTCCGTGCATTTCACCCTCACTAGATTGGAGGCTGTCTTGACTCTTGTCGGCTTTTCTTTTGGTTATAAGAAAGGTAGAAAAGCAAACCCTGACTCAATTTTTTTTCCGTCCAAGTTTCTAACATGCCACCTCCAGCTCCCTGCCCTAAATGTGCTCAACTCTAGCTTTTGGTTTTATTTTTAAATAGAGGAAATAAGAAAGCAAGAGTTTGGGGGAAGAGAGAGAAGAATCCCTCTAGTTCTCTCTGCTTTTCGATCATTATTTGCCCAAATATCCTGAGGAAAGAAATTAGCATTGCAATGCTTTTAGTTGCTGGGTGTTGTTTCTTCCCCAACCATTCACTTTTCATCCTCTTTTAGTTACCTGTTACCCCATTTAAAAGAAACCAATGACAAGCTGTTTCTCTCCACCCCACCTCTCTAGCAATTTACATGTTTTGGGATTGGAAAATTCGCTAACGAAGTGTAAAAGGAGAAAAGAAAACCAAAAGAAAAGCCCCAAATCGAAAATGAAAACAATTCCATATTCTAACCTGGTTTGAGTGATATTATTTATTGGTAACCTATTATTTAGGGAGTAACCTTCCTTTGTAAATTATTCTTACTATTATTATTTCTACAACCATTTTTTTTCTTCGTAATTTAATTGTTGTGCTTTGACCTGTGCAATATTGTACGAAATTTTCTGAGAGCACTTCGGCTTCCTCCAGGGAAGGAAAGGAACATTTTCATTGTAAAATTGTGATCATTCCAGTAGCAAAATAAATAAAGTAGTGGGGGAAGAAAGGGAAGGAAGGAAGGAAGGAGGCTAGGGAAATTGAGCACTAGCTCTGCTCAGAGGCAGCTGGTTATTGGAGCGCTTTAAGTGAAGGACAATCAATTTAGGAAAATTTTAACTTATTTGATAAATGTACAGTTTTCTTGTAAAATTCACCCTAAACCTCACAGCCCCGAGGTTCTGCCATTACAATCCAACCTAGGTTTCCTTGTGTCTACTAAGTCTGTTGTCCGACAATAGGTTCCAGTCATCTCCCTCTCCTACCCCCAAGGATTTCCTTTTGCATTTGTTGGAGTTCAGTCTCTTTTTAAGAAAAAGGAAAAAAAGTAAAATATTGTTAAGCTGAATGTCGTCGTGAGATTGAAATAAAAAACAAAAGAGCAAAGGCACTTATGTTCCAAGGTTGTGTAACTTTTGGAAATTATCTCCAACAGGTGTTTCTGAAACACCTACTTTCTCTCCTCTTTTCTCCTCTACCCTTTCTATCCATCATGAGAAGTGGGGGCACACATCTATAATCCAGTCTTTAAGGCAGACGAAGGTGACTTTGTTTGGAGAAGGAAGATTCCCCAAAATGATCTTCTCAAGAGCGAGCTGGAACAAGGGGAATAAAGAGAGTTTTTTTATATGGTTTGCAAAATTCCACTAGACAAGATAGCCGAGTGACTGTCCGGTTTGGATCGCTGGGTGCCTGTTCCAAAGCCTCTTATTGCCATATGTGTCTGTGTATGAAAGATTGTAGCCCAATTATTTTAGCTATGAGGTAGAAATCCTGGGAAAGCCTTCTACAGAGCCCTTTTAATCTATTTTGTGCCACCAGGACCTATCCCCCTTGACTCATCCTTGGATAAAGGAGAGAAGGAAGGAAGAGGAAGGATAACTTGGGGGTTAAACATCCGCTAGAGGTAAAGCGAAGCAGGTGCAGAGACTGCAAATGCCAGAGAAGCTTAAGCTCATAAGAAAGAACAGAAAGTTGACCAGCCAAACGCGGGACCTCAGTCTTCTTCTTTAGCTTTTGGAGGTTTTCACCTCCTTAGGGACTGCGTTGCTCGCTCAGCCAGCGGCTGCAGAGCTGTAATAGAGTCTCGAAGTCTTGATCTAAAAATTAAGAGGGAAAAGACAGCAACTCTGTACCGATTGGGCCGGACTTGCAGTTTTCCCCAAGTCAGCTCTTCGGCCCAGCCCGAAGGGAAAGGGGAGGGGAAGCCCACAGGAATTCGGTGGCTTGATTTACCTTCGGGATCCGGACACACACAGATGCGGGCGCGCACGCAGGCCCTCGCAGACACACACACACACACAAACACACGCGTGCGCGCGCGCGCGCGCAGACACACACACACACACACACACACACACACACACACACACACACACACACACAAAACCAGGAACTAGTTCCAGTACTGCTATCCAGGGTTTTCATTTCCAGTAATTCCAGCTTAGAGCAACTTCCTGACAACAGTGTTCTGTTCTGTTTCTTTTTTTAAATCAAGATTCACTGTATTTCTTTTCCTTTCTTTTTCCTTTTTTCCTTTTTCTTTTTTTGGTTCCCCCTTTCCCCAGACAGAAAGAGAGAAGTACAATACTTCGGTCAGTGCTGAAGCTACCCAGCTAGGGCAGAGCCCCAACTCAAGTATGCTCAGCGCCTCCCTACCTTCCCTCTACCAGCCGGTAGAGGAGCTGGGACAGCATTCTCCAGCTTTGCTTCAGGAAAGCCTGGCTGCTTGCTTGAGCCTCGAGATTCCCACCCTGCCTTGCTTTGGAAGCATCTTGGCCGCCTCTCGAGGAAATGGCCCCAATTTTCTTGTAAAAAGTTGTGCCTGGGTCTCAAGTAGGAGAGCAGAAAGAATTCTCCACAACCCGAATGTGACTAGAATAGAGACTGAGGAAAAAATGGCCAATAGGTGGAATTATTTGGAGCTGTCTGGTTTGTCCATCGTTTTACTTGAATGAACTGGGTGTGGAGAGAGCTCCAAGAAGGGCACGGTTGAAGATCTCTTCTGGGGTCTGATTTGTAGTATTGGGTTGGGGAGACAAGAGAGAGAGAGAGAGAGAGAGAGAGAGAGAGAGAGAGAGAGAGAGAGAGAGAGAGAGAGAGAGAGAGAGAGACTTTTTAATCTCGTACTTCTTTAATGTGTTCCATGACCTTAGCCTAGAAGAATTTTTTCTTTTCTAGCTGAGATGTTGAGCATCATTTTTTGGATTATAGGAAAGTGCCCCCAAAGAACTCGGTGTATATATGGCAAAATTTTGAATTGGGGTCTAGTGAAGACAAATCTCCCTTTATTTCCCCTCTGGTCTGGAATAAAAACAAGGACATTGTTGTAAATTAAAAACAAACAGAAAATAGGGGTCAAAATATGTTGTCCTTTGTGTCACCTGCAAACAGAGTGATGCCTTTGACTGTTGGCAATACTAACTGTGAGACGGGTCAATAACAGCTCATTAAAAATAATGTTGCAACAGCAAACACATCCTTAGACTTTACAGCAAACGTGATGTTATCATATGCCAAGAAAATCCTTCTTTATTTGTGTTTAGATTCTAGAAAACGGTTCTTGACTGACCCAGTCTTTACGAAGTCGAGAAATAACTAGTTGGTTACAAGCACAACTTGTCCTCTGCATTGCTTCCTTTGGGCTTTTACTTCCTGCCTCAAGCTCATTCCCCTCCCTGTTCTTGGCTGAAAGAAAGTCCCCAATGCTGATAGGGCGGGTCCCCCAGGCCTATGCTTCTGGTGCCCCTAAGTCTATCTGTCTGTCTGTCTACATAACTGTCTGCCTGCTTGCTTCAGGTCCAACAAAGTAGGGCCCAGAGTGCTAACACTTGTTTTGGTTACATTGAGGGGGAAGTGATGTTGCATGTTTTGCAATTTGCAACACAGTGAATTAACAAAATTAGACTCCACCGAAGCATTGGCAAGGTCACTGTACTTTCCAGGAGCCCAGATTAAGCAGAAGATCCAATTATTGTCCCTAGGAGTTGTGCATACAAGGGGTCCCCGGGACTCAACTCTAGTATCTACAACTCTGCACCTGACATCTACATAGGCCTCAGAATCCTGTTTGCCTTTATAGCCTTCTTTCTTCTACCTGGACCTTGATGAGTCTGTTGGGATCCAAATGGGCAGACTGACTGCTTCCTCAGTGCTAGGGAAATGCATTGGTGGTGTGTTTAGCAGCATTCTGGGAAGTAATGAAGTAGGGAGGAAGAGAGATTGTAGAATATGTAACTTTTTCTCAGCTGTCATCCCACCAAATTTTCTTCAGTCTCAGCCAGATGCCTAAAATACAGCCCTCAGACCCAGAACCAAGATTTGGATTGTGTTGACTCAGACCTTACAAATCCCCAAAATGATCCCCTGAACTTGGATTGAACATTCTGCTTTCTAAAAGCCTAAAATAAAAATAAAGTCATTCAGGCCTCTTTTCCTAACTTCTCAATTCAATCTAAATGACATTGATTTCTAGGGTAAAGCCTTCAAGCAGTACTGCATCTTCTCTTTCCCACTCTCCCTCCCCTCAGTCAAACACACAACTTTTGCAGAGGTGTCTCAGGGCAGTGAGTTCTACTTTTGAAGACACCTCCTTCCTCCCTCCCCCCAACTTAAGACTGGCACAATCAGTCCTTAGGAGGAAAGGAGAGGTACCCCTTTTGCATCCCAGGATGGGTCCTGATCCTGGAAACTGGAGGTGAAAGGAGTGATGGGGAAGACATGGAGGAGACTGAAAATGAATTTCTCAGACTTGGTTGGCATCTCAGTGCCTGCACAGTGAGGTAAATGCTCTGGGTTGAGTGACAGGGTTTCTGCCAGTCAGACAATAAGTTGATTCGTTCAGATCCTAAAACTGCTGGCAACTGACTAACCAGTTGTTTTTATCGAGGCCACTGTGGTTTCCAAATCTGTGCAATTGTTTGCACAGAAAGAGATACATCCTTTTCCCAGGTCTGTTTGGAGCTTGGCTGAACCGAA